GTCAGGCTGGTCTCAAACTCCTGACCTCAGGTGATCCGCCTACCTTGGCCTTCCAAAGTGCTGAGATTACAGGTGTAAGCCGCTGCGCCCGGCCTGTCTTGCTTTATTACAGTTTGTGTCTAAGAAGATCTTAGGGCCTGTGCACACTGTACACTGAGCCTTGGGACTTATGTTTCTTTTTTTTTTTTTTTGAGACGGAGTTTCGTTTTTCTACCCAGGCTGGAGTGCAGTGGTGTGATCTTGGCTCACTGCAACCTTTGCCTTCCAGTTTGAAGCAATTATCTTGCCTCCGTCTCCCGAGTAGCTAGGATTACAGGCGTCCGCCACCATGCCAGGATAATTTTTTGTATTTTTAGTAGAGATGGGGTTTCACCATGTTGGCCAGGCTGGTCTCGAACTCCTGACCTTGCAATCCGCCCACCTTGGCCTCCCAAAGTGCTGGGATTATAGGCATGAGCCGCCACGCTTGGCTGGGACTTACATTTCTAACCATGCATAATTTTAATTCTTTTGTATTTTTTGAGATGGAGTCTCGCTCTGTCGTGCAGGCTGGAGTGCAAAGGTAGGATCTCAGCTCACTGCAACCTCTACCTCCCGGGATCAAGCAATTCTTCTACCTCAGCCTCCCGAGTAGCTGGGATTACAGGCACCCGCTATCGTGCCCAGCTAATTTTTGTATTTTTGTAGATATGGGGTTTCACCATGTTGGCCAGGCTGGTCTTGAACTCCTGACCTCAGGTGATCCACCTGCCTCGGCCTCCCAAAATGCTAGGATTACAGGCGTGAGCCACCACGCCTAGCCACATTTTTTAAAGAATCAGCTAAGTCAAATAAACCATGGCTCATCCACGATGGAATTCTGTGCAACTGTAAAATAGAAAAAGGATGTGCTGACATAAAATGATCTTTAGAATATATTAAGTGAAAAAATGAAGGCACAGTAAAGTGTGTATAAGGTGTGTATATGTTGTATTTTATATAAGAAAGTTGAGCTGGGCATGGTGGCTCATGCCTGTAATCCCAGCACTTTGGAAGATGGAGGTGGGCAGATAACCTGAGGTCAGGAATTTGAGACCAACCTGGCCAACATGGTGAAACCCCGTCTCTACTAAAAATACAAAAAATTAGCCGGGCATAGTGGTGTGTGCCTGTAATCTCAGCTACTTGGGAGGCTGAGGCAGGGAGAATCGCTTGAACCTGGGAGGCGGAGGTTTCAGTGAGCTGAGATCATGCCATTGCACTCCAGCCTGGGTGACAGAACGTGACTCTGTCTCAAAAAAAAAAAAAATAATAAAAATAAAAAGAAAGGTGGGGGAAGAGAACATATGCAGTAAAGCGTGTGTATGCAATCTCTTATGAAAGAAAGATGGAGAAGATGACATTTGTATTGCATCAAAAAAATGGGAAGAAACTAATATGGTTTCTACAAGGTAGATGCGAAAAAGGTGGCAGCAAGACTTCTCTGTATTCCTTTATTAATATTTTGACTTTTTTGTTTTTTGAGATAGGGTCTTGCTCTGTTGCCCAGGCTATAGTACACTGGTGCCATCATGGTTCACAGTAACCTTGAACTCCTGGGCTCAAGTAATCCTCTACCTCAGCCTTCCAAGTAGCTGGGGCTATAGGCAGGTGCGCATGCCACCATGCCAGGCTAATATTTGTATTTTTTGTAGAGATGGGGTTTCACGATGTTGCCCAGGCTGATCTTGAACTCCTGGGTTCAAGTGACCCTCTTGGCCTTGGGCTCCCAAAGTGCTGGGATTACAGGCATGAGCTACCATGCCTGGTTGATATGTTGACTTTTGAATGATGTAAGCTTACCTCTTAAAAATCATTCCCTTTTCTTTTCTTTTTTTGAGTCGGAGTCTCGCCGTCTCACCCAGGCTGGAGTGCAGTGGCACGATCTCGGCTCACTGCAACCTCTACCTCCCTGGGTTCAAGCGATTCTCCTGCCTCAGACTCCTGGGTAGCTGGGATTACCGGTGTATGCCACCACGCCCGGCTAATTTTTGTATTTTTAGTAGAGATGGGGTTTCACCAGGTTGGTCAGGCTGCTCTCAGACTCCTGACCTTGTCATCTGCCCACCTCGGCCTCCCAAAGTGCTTGGATTACAAGTGTGATCCACCACGCCCGGCCTCAATTTTTAAAGTTAGCTTAATCTCCAAGAAATCTTCCTAGACGTCTCCAAGCTGGGTTAGAAGCTCCTGTAATGCACACCATATTTGCATGATAGTATGTCACACTTAGCTGTCTGTGGCACTAGGCATTGAGGCCAGGGGGTGAGTCTATTGGTCTTGTAACCTATAATGTAATTTACAACAGGATCCCAGTATTTGTTAAATTAATTCTTCTGTATTCCTATAGAAAGCAGAACCAGAAAGAAGAATGGGGAAAAGGAAGTATTCCCGCCTAAGGAGGCACCCCGAAAGGGGAAGCGAGGCCGGAGGCCCAGTAAACCCCGACTGATTCCCAGGCAGACGTCCGGGGGCCCCATCTGCCCTGATTGCGGCTGTACCTTCCCTGATCATCAGGCCCTGGAGAGCCACAAGTGCGCCCAGAATCTAAAAAAGCCTTACCCTTGCCCAGACTGTGGGCGCCGCTTTTCCTATCCATCCCTGCTGGTCAGCCACCGGCGGGCACACTCCGGCGAGTGCCCCTATGTTTGTGACCAGTGTGGCAAACGTTTCTCCCAGCGCAAGAACCTCTCCCAGCACCAGGTCATCCATACAGGCGAGAAGCCCTACCACTGCCCTGACTGTGGTCGCTGTTTCCGGAGGAGCCGGTCCTTGGCCAATCACCGGACCACACACACAGGCGAAAAACCCCACCAGTGCCCTAGCTGCGGACGTCGCTTCGCCTACCCCTCCCTGCTAGCCATTCACCAGCGTACACACACGGGAGAGAAGCCCTACACCTGCCTCGAGTGCAACCGCCGCTTCCGCCAGCGCACCGCGCTCGTTATCCACCAGCGCATCCACACGGGCGAGAAGCCCTACCCGTGCCCGGACTGCGAGCGGCGCTTCTCCTCCTCCTCTCGCCTAGTCAGTCACCGGCGTGTGCACTCTGGGGAGCGTCCCTATGCCTGCGAGCACTGTGAGGCCCGCTTCTCCCAGCGCAGCACACTGCTCCAGCACCAGCTCTTGCACACGGGAGAGAAGCCCTACCCCTGCCCAGACTGTGGGCGTGCCTTCCGGCGGAGCGGCTCCCTGGCCATCCATCGCAGCACGCACACTGAGGAGAAACTGCACGCCTGCGACGACTGTGGCCGGCGCTTTGCCTACCCCTCACTGCTGGCCAGCCACCGGCGCGTGCACTCGGGCGAGCGGCCCTATGCCTGCGACCTTTGCTCCAAGCGCTTTGCTCAGTGGAGCCACCTGGCCCAGCACCAGCTGCTGCACACGGGGGAGAAGCCTTTCCCCTGCCTCGAGTGTGGCCGGTGCTTCCGCCAGAGGTGGTCTCTGGCTGTCCACAAGTGTAGCCCCAAGGCCCCAAACTGTAGCCCTAGATCTGCTCTCGGGGGCTCCAGTCAGAGGGGCAATGCCCATTAGAAGGGGAAGGACTGCCTACGTTCATTTCATTTTATGGAAGGACCCAGAAAAGGGAAGGAGGAGCCCCAGGTCATACAGGGCAGAGTCAGAACTAAACCCAGGTCTCCTGCTGGACAGAGCTGAACTTTAGTATCTTGCACTGCACTGACTGCCTCCCTGTGCATGTCTGGAACAGTCCCATTAGGAGAGGTGATATCATTTGGTTAAAGTTTTTCAAGCTACCCTATCCTTAAATAGTTTGTCTGGATATCAGGGCTAAAAGTTCTCCCCATCTATTTTAGGGGCTGTCTGCTTTTCTAGCCTGTGCACACAGGGATTACCTGTCATCTTGCATGCAATCAGGAGAATCTGATTTATAGGTGCAGGACCTTCCCCTACTCTGCCTCTTCCTCCATACTAGGTTGGAAAAGTCTGGTTTAGCCCACTTTTTACAACACTCCTGCCAAGTGGTCTCTACCCCTTGCTTGAAAATCTCCCTTGACAGGGAGCTCACTACCTCACAAGGCAGGTCATTTCATTGTGGGATCTATAGAAAGTTAAGTACCACATTCTCATCTGTAAACCTTGCCTACGACATGTTTAATACTTCTACTTGGCAGCCCTTCAGATAACTTAATCACAACCAATTTGCCCCCAAATTTTCAGGTTAAGTAGCATGAATTTGGTCATTCCTTAAAGACAGGGTTTCAATTTCCACACATGATCTCTGCAAACAGGCTCTGGGTTTTCAGTGTCCTTTTTGAAGGGTCATGTAAAAATAAGGTAGCACCCACAGTGCCACTACACCTTCTGGGGCTGGACTTGTTTCAGCAGCTTTGGTTGCACTGAATTTGGGGGAGCTGCACGGTACCAGCAGTTTATTGGGATGCAGATATATAAATGCCCTAAACTTAAAAAAAAAAAAAGCTAAGTCTTCATCTTGTGTTTGGAAAATTGGTTCAAGCTGCGTATGAGACATACGCGCAGTCAGCTCTGGGAGAAGGTTGGTCTTAAGGAAAAGCAGGGACCTGTGGTTTAGGAAATGCAAATGGGACTGGCTTGTGCTCTACCTGGCAGACCTGGATTGGCTTCAGGCGGCCAGTGCCTGGAAAAGCCTGGAGAATTGGGCCATACTCGACCCGGATTCTCATCAGGCACAGATGAATCACAGGCACATAATCGGCACAGAACTTCCATGAGGCCTCAGTCAGCATTTTTTCACAAAATGAGGTGAGGCCATTCAAGGAGGCTAGAAAGAGGGAATTGAACCCAGAGAGAAAGAGTCTATAGTCATCAAGTTGTGTCCATGCCAGCCTCCCTCCAGAGAGGTGGCAACAGTGTGTCTCAATCTGATCCACCTCCATGGCACTCGCCGGGTAGGTGCTTCATAAAGCTTTACCGCGTTAAATGTGAACAAGGCCTACCACTTTGCCTTGGGCAGCTGCACCAAATTAGAATTTCCAGATGTGACTCATATTCCAACAGCTGGAGTGGGTCATCCTTTACCCCTGTGGCGCCTTACTACAGCTCTCCTGATCTGGGCCCAAGCAGGGGAGCAGCTGGGGAACACAGCTTTATGTAATTACCTCTGTTCAATCTTTAGCAAGTTGCATTGTAACATTGTAACTATTTGTTTCTCCTTGGATGGTGAGCTGCCCCCAAGAAGGGGTCATATCAGATTGGGTCTCATTAAAATGTCTGATGAATGAATTCTGTTCCTCCTGGAATTACTTTTTACAAAATGTCAATCTAGTTCCTTGATTCAGTAGCAATTTTTGCTGTTCTGATGGGAGAGCCAGACTTTCAGACCAGGAGACCTGCCCTGCCCAGCAGAGCCCTGTTACCAGGTCTACCCAGCCCCCTGGTAGAGCCAGCTCTTTCCCCTACCCTTTGCCACCGGAACGCAAGGATTTCCTCAGCTAGGAATTGTATAACTTTCTTTGGGACTGGATGGTAATTCATAAAACTTGGGGCCAGGTGGAGTGGCTCACGCCTGTAATCCCAGCACTTTGGGAGGCCGAGGCGGGCAGATCACCAGGTCAGGAGATCGAGACCATCCTGGCTAACACGGTGAAACCCCGTCTCTACTAAAAATACAAAAAATTAGCCGGGCGTGGTAGCGGGCACCTGTAGTCCCAGCTACTCAGGAGGCTGAGGCAGGAGAATAGCGTGAACCCGGGAGGTGGAGCCTGCAGTGAGCTGAGATCACGCCACTGCAATCCAGCCTGGGTGACAGAGCAAGCTCCATCTCAAAAAAAAAAAACAAACAAACAAACAAACTTGGGAGCCACTGGTGGCTAACTTCCATTATGTGGTCTGCGGAAAGCAGAGATGGGAGACAACTTCCTAGGTTCCCTGAAGCACTTCAATCCACCCGAGCTGGGATCCTGGCTCTTTATTCAGTGAGAGATCCTAGCATCCTTCCAATAACTTCCCCTTTCTGCTTAAGGTGGTTTGAGTTTCTGTTGTTTGCAATCAAAAGAATGAACAAATACATAGCCTCAGTCTGGATTAATCTCCCATCTGCCTCCATGCCTAGATATGAGCTGTGAAAAAAAACACTGCATTGCTGCTGACAGGGGCCACGATACCTTTCCTGACCTTCAACCTCAGTAGAACATTCAATATTACGTCTTCCGGACTGGGCACAGTGGTTCATGCCTGTAATCCCAGCACTTTGGGAGGCTAAGGCGGGAGGACTGACCTGGGAGTTCGAGACCAGCCCGGGCAACATAGCAAGACTTAAAAAACAGCAACAATAACAAGACAATATTATGTCTTCCATATATATATAGAATTAAAGTTAAATATAAACTAATAGTTTATATACAAATGTATAAATATAAACATAAATACTGTGGTAGTCCAGAGCACGACCACCCTATAGGCAGTGTGCCCAGAGTAGCATTCCATATATTCTTTTTTTTTTTTTTTGAGATGGAGTCTCGCTCTGTCACCCAGGCTGGAATGCAGTGGCACAATCTCGGCTCACTACAACTTCCGCCTCCTGTGTTCAAGCGATTCTCCTGCCTCAGCCTC